ACCAAGGACCCGGCCCGCCGAGACCGGGGAGTCTGGGTCCTGCGGAGGACCCGGCCTGTCGTTTTGGACACAGCCATAGCCTTATATGGTGTTTTTGGGGTGGTAATTATGCTAATCTCCTCTCGCGTGCACGAGCAGCTGGATAGAACAGGTGGAATTTACGCAGCTCATTTACACACGTTTTCTGAAGATAGAAGHGTTTGTTGAATCTGACGTGACATGTTCGTACGAACCCTTCATACGAACAAAAGTAAGAGGAATTTAGGATAAAAATACGAACATGTTCTTGCATGAGGCCCATTGATTCATGACATATTTCATTTAAAATGACCAAGTCAGCTCAGTCTGGGACTGACTCGTGTTGTCTCCCTGAATCAGGACACGACATTGCTTTACCGCAGCCTCGGCTGAGCTCTGTCCGCCCCACACCACACCAGCCCCTGACAGAGGAGGTGGAGCGCCCCGACAGCCTGACAGAAAAAAAAAGCATTCAGCTGCAGCTGCTCACAAGATCACTAGTTTAGATCAGGAATAAAAGTGTTGGGTCTTGTTTGACTGAAGTTTGGTCCGGTTCGAGCCTTTTTTTTTCCTCCCCCCCGCTGTGCGTTCTACACACAGAGTTCTTGTTTACCTGTTTCTGCAGGACGTACAGCGGGCTGGGGTGTGTGTGTCTGTGTGTGTGTGAGCAGCGCAGCAGTCAGCTCTCTCCTCCTCTTCACACCCGAGGCTGAGGGAGGCTGAAGGAGAGTCAACAGACCAGACTGCGGTGTACATTTTAGGACATCCTCAGTTTTACTTGTCAGTCATCAGTTGTCAACAAAAACTCTGTCAGTCTCACTGATCAGTTTCATTTGTCAGTTTTCCTTTTTACTTGTCACTTTTGAGGTGAAGTGCTTTTGAACCAATGCTTCTATCTCTGTTATCAGGTTATTTCTTTATTATTTACATTTTTTGGCGCCTTCTGGAACCTGACCACCGCTACTGCCTATTGGAGCTGACGAGACGTGGGGCCGCCATCTTAGAACGGTCTCCCGCTCCACTCAGTGTGATAAGTGTAGCAGGCACAATGAAGTATCAACACGTTTAATAAATCATAACTCGCTGAAAACTGAAGTGACGTCACGCCTTTTCTTTAGCTGCAAACCTTATTCATACAGCTAGCACAGTTACATGTATAAGAGCAAAAATCTGAATTTTCGAACCGAAATTGAATTATGGAACTGAAAGTGAAAGTAGTCAAACTGAATTTTTAATAAACCAAAATACAGTTTCAAAGCAAATAAATTCAGTTTCAAATCATTAAATTCAGTTCCAATTCAATGAAATTTATTTTCAAACCAATGCATTCAATTTCAAATTATGCACATTCAGATTCAAACTGAGCAATTTAAATTCAGTTCCTGCTGGCACAAGATTTATGCCATACATACTTGGACATGTGCAGAGGAGTGATGGTGGATCTATTGAACAAATGAATGTAGGGGGTCAAACTCAGTTACACAAATGGGCCAAAAATAAAAACTTTGACCAAGGCGTGGGCCAATTTCTGTCACTATTTATTGAAGAAATGTTATATAACAATTTATTCTTATAAAAATACCAATGACCTTTTCCGAAATATGTTTTATGTTGCAATTAGAATACACATAACCTACCAGATAAAGAAAAACAACTAAATTTAGAAAGACGCATCATTTAAATAAATTTCTTGTGCCTTACTCTCTATCAACAACCTTTTCATTTATTATATCTTAAAAATATGTTTTGTCGCAATCCAGCAAACCAGGTCAAAAAAAGAAAACTCTTGCTAAAAATCCAATTATTTGAATTTAAAATAAAAGAATACAGCAAACAATGATTAAAGTTGATTCTCTGTTGTTCTTTCCACACCAAAATCAAAAATCAATTAAAAACACAAACTGAATTTTCTTGGCTTGAAAGGTGTGCAGCTGACACGAGAAGATTTCACTACATTTAGAGACAAAAGGAGAAACCATAAAACTATTTCACATTTAAAGTACTTCCTTTTGGGCCCTGATAAAATCTTGACAGGGATCAGATTTGGCCTGTGGGAATGTTTTCATAATCTATGTGGTCTATTTTCCTTTATGATGGAACGTCACGTTTGGGTTTATTTGATCCCTGACAGTCCTTCCTCTCTCCAGGTTACCCATACAACGAGGTGTGCCAGTGGTTCATTGATCGAGCCGATCTGATCTTCCTGGTGTTTGACCCCACTAAGCTGGATGTGGGAGGTGAGCTGGAAATGCTTTTCCGCCAGATGAAAGGCCGCGAGTCCCAGATTCGCCTCATCCTCAACAAAGCAGACAGCGTTTCAACCCAGGACCTGATGAGGGTTTACGGGGCCCTGTTCTGGAGCATGGCCCCGCTGATCAATGTCACAGAGTCCCCTCGGGTCTACGTCAGCTCCTTCTGGCCTCAGGAGTACGCTACAGACACAAGCCGAAAGCTCTTCATGAAGGAGGAGACCTCCCTGCTGGAGGATCTCAACCAGGTGGGACTTGTTCTCATGTTTCCTCAACAAAACTTCTGATTAGGGATTTATCAACTTCCAGTTTACCACATGATGCTTCTGATTACTTCACAAGATGTTATGTGGTGCAGAGGATGTTTCATGCTAAAAGTGTCATATGAAGCAGATAAAATTCAGGTTCAGATCTGGTTTTCAGTGTTCTACCTTCCTAAAATACTGATTTTATGTTGTTTTATTAATCCCAAGAAAACATAAAATGTAAAATGTTCTTCAAATGGATGAAGAGTGCATTAATTTGAGCAGATCTTTTACAAATGTCCTGATGAATCTCAGTAATCCAGGTAGAAAAAATCAGTAGGTCCTCTGGATGGGTTCTTCTTTAGTGAAATGTTTCGTCTCTCCTCCAAGAGACTTCTTCAGTCTGATGAGTTTCAGGTGAACTCAGCCTTATAAGCTCCGCCTCCACATGGACAAACAGGTTAGTCATATGCAAAATAGGGCCATCGACTAACAATAAGCTTGATTAGCTCTATTGTTCATAGAGGTTCATGTATCCCATCATCTGACCTGTGTTGTGTTATGTGAATGTAGTGCAAGCGGGGGTTCAAAGTCCTCTTGTTCATGTTTCTCTCCCTCTTTGTGTTGGTATCGTTAAGGCTCTGATTCACACCTTTTTCTCACAGGGGGCGGAGTCATACTTGCAATAACAGCATTGTAGGAGGAAGGAGACGATAGGCGGTCAGCGTTGTTGACGTTTCGTCTCTCATGGAGGAGAGACGAAACGTTTCACTAAAGAAGAACCCATCCAGAGAACCTACTTATTTTTTTCTTTTTGATCTTTTACAAAGGTTTCTGGAGAGTATACCCCTGGAACTGCTTCAGTCCTGCTTGTTAACATGAACAGGTGTTCCTCATTGCTAAAATAGCACAAGTTGGCAGGTATGAAGTAGACTTATGATATTCTGTTCCAAATGAATTGTATAGTTGACTAGAATAGCTCCTGGAGTAACTATGAATGGGTTTGCCACTTAGTGCAAGATTGTTTTTAATGTAGTTTTGGATGTTTAGCTGCCACCACACCAAATTTCAGCTCAATATGGCTAAAAATAGCCAAGTTAGGATCAGTTTTATATTTTAGCAATGGTAGCCATCTCATTTTGGATTTTTGATCAAGATTCAGAATGAGATGGAGATGGTTCTCAGATAGCACCAGTTATTGCTGTTTAAAACTAGCTTTAGCAGACTTCAGCTACTACTATACAACTTTTAAGCTTTCTATGGTTCACATTGCATTCCTCTGCTCTCTTAATCACTTGAATTGGCAAATTTTTAATTGGACAAGCTGGTTTCTAAAGATAAACACTATTTATTAGCGCATGTGAATGTTTGTAAATTAGCAGTGAGATTTAGAAAATTGCACAAGAGATGCCACCTGGAACTTGCCTAGGGCACCAAATTGGATAGGACTGGCCCTGTCCACAAGGTTGTCTGCTTTGGATCAACAAAGCAGACAAACAGGATGTTTGAGTTTTGTAGTGTCTAAAAGTGGAGGCCTCTTCTCAGGAATGCACAGATGTACTATGTCTCTCTTAGACCCCAGCTTCAGAACTCGGCACATGTTACCATATTAGGAAAGGAATGCTTAAGGTAGGCGGCATGGTGGCTCAGTTGGTAGAGCTGATGCCTCTCAGCGAGAAGGTCACGGTTCAAATCCCGGTCCGGGGACCCTTCTGGGTAGAGT